AGGCTTCTCAGTTGCACACTCAATACAATGTAGACAAACACAACCCCCATTTGGGTTCAACACATAATCTCTCCCACATGCCTAATTTCCTTGTCCTTCGGTTCTTCCATCCTCATTTCCTTCCATTATCCAAACCATCCTCTTCTCTTAGCCATGCAGTCGGGGTGCTGGTTGAGTCAACTGACCTTGCTTTCACTCAGCAATTCTCTCTAGTCCTTTTTGGACTTGTCAACCTTCAAACCCTCGACCACTTTGCTCTCACAACCTTTCCAACCCTCAAGCACTTTCTTTCTTTTCTTCTTGGTGGCACAAGGGACTGGCAGCCCTCCCCTTGCCCTCTCTTTCCACCAAGTGACATCAAAATTCTTTCACCGTTTATCCCCTGGCAATGTGACAAGTGAGTGGGGAAGGGTTACGTGCATGCCAAGAGCGAAAAAAAGAGAAGGTAAAGATTGGCCTTGGGGTATGGGAGAGGAGGATGGGAAGACCCCATAGTTAGTGTCCTCGCAGACAACCGCACTATGCGTGTTGAGGACTACGTAGAGGGAGGCTAGGCGTATTTCCGCCTAGACAAAAATGGGAAGGTGGAGAGAGTTCTCCATTCCCTGACTCTTCTCGTAAAAGATGACCTTCCTTTTGACATAGTCCTAGGCATCGATTGGGGAGAGGCAGCAGGGGCCACACTCCACCTGAGAGAGCACGAGTGTAGGCTCCCTAGTCCGTCAGGTGAGGTCAAGACGACCCGTCTGTTTCATGTGTCAGGAGTAGACAACTCCTTGGCACATTGCTGTCTTAGTGCTCCCGCGTTCGCGCGATTAGTTAAAAAGGAGCAGTGAGAGGAGCAAGTCTTCGTAGCTTATGTAAGGCCTGTCACTGAGCCTAAGGAGGACACACCCATAGATCCAACCATTACCAAGCTGCTGGAAAAGTTTAAGGATTTAGCAGAGCCGCCGACAGGAGTAGTGTCGCGACCGATCCAACATCGTATAGAGATAGAGCTTGGCAGTAGGACTCCTAAGGGCGCAGTCTATAGGATGTCCCCAACGGAGTTAGAGGAGCTGCGCAAGCAGTTGGATGAGCTCCTCGAAAAGGGTTGGATTAGGCCCAATTCATCTCCTTTTGGAGCACCAATTTTGTTTGTCCCCAAAAAAGGAAGGAGAGTTGCGGATGTGCATAGATTATAGGGGTCTAAACGTGATCACATTAAAGAACGTTGAGCCACTGCCCAAGATAGACGATCTCTTAGATTGAATGCAGGGCTGCAAATATTTTTCGAAGATCGATTTGAAGTTCGGATATCATCAGATCGAGGTCCATCCTGATGACCAGTACAAGACTGCGTTCCGGACTAGATATGGGAACTATGAGTTCATAGTGATCCCCTTTGGACTAACCAATGCGCCTGCCACGTTCTAGCGTTGTATGAACGATTTGTTTAGGCCGTGGTTAGACATATTTGTTGTAGTTTATCTAGATGATATATTAGTATTCAGTAGGACCCTCCAAGAGCATCAGGGTTATTTGAGGCAGGTCTTGGCGAAGCAGAGAGAGGCTAACTTCAAGATCAATGCGAAGAAGTGCGAGTGGGCCAAGACACAAGTCTTGTACTTGGGCCACGTTTTAGACAGAGATGGCATTAAGCCTGAGGACAGCAAGATAGCGGCGATTAGAGATTGGTCGATGCCCCGCATGTTGACTGAGTTGCGGTCGTTCCTAGGCCTAGCTAACTACTATAGGAAGTTTGTGAGGAACTTCTCGACTATCGCCGCTCCCCTTCGCAAGTTGCTCAAGAAAGAGGCAATCTGGCAGTGAGATAAAGATTGTACGTCTACGCTAAAGAAGTTAAAGCGAGCATTAATGGAGTATCCTGTCCTCAAAGTAGCAGATCCGTCTTTGCCATTTGTCGTCACCACTGACACGAGTCTGTATGGTATAGGCGCCGTGTTACAGCAAGACGACGGCAATGGCTACAGACCCGTAGAGTTCATGTCAGCGAGGATGCCCTCAGAAAAGGTAGCTACCTCGACTTACGAGAGGGAACTCTACGCTTTCAGGCATGCCCTAGAGCACTAGAAGCATTACCTGCTTGGGAGGCACTTCAAAGTGTATTCAGACCACGAGACTCTTAGGTGGTTGAAGACACATGCCAAAATGACACCTAGGTTGACTAGGTGGGCCGCTGAGATAGACCAGTATGACTTCGAGGTCAAACCAGTGAAGGGCAAGTATAATGTAGTTGTGGATGCTCTAATTAGGAGATCAGACTACTTCGGAGTTGTAGTCCACTATCTTGATATAGGGACAGACCTGCAAGAGAAAGTAAGACATGCGTATGCGCAGGACCCTATTTATGGTGACCTCCTCAAGAGAGTTAAGGAGGCCACAGAGACTGGACCAGATTACCGCACTATAGAGGGACTGTTGTTCGAGAAGACCAATGTAGTAGATCGTCTTTGCATTCCCAACAGTGAGGAGATCCGTAATTTGATCCTAGGGGAATGCCATGATACCGAGGGACATTTTGGTTGGCGAAAGACTCTAGCCAACCTGATGCATGCGTATACATGGCCAGGAATGAAAGTTGACTGCATAGAGTATGTCCGCAGTTGCAAAGTATGCCAGAGAAACAAGACTACTACGCGTGCCCCTCTAGGTCTTCTCAGACCCTTGCCTATTCCTGACCAGCCAGGAGACTCTGTGTCCATTGACTTTATGGATACCCAAGTCAAGAGTAGGCACGACAAGAGCCAAGTCATGGTGATAGTTGATAGGTTTAGTAAATATGCAGTTTTTGTTCCGTTGCCTGCATTGGCACGCACTGATTTAGTAATTCAGAAGTTTTTTTACCATTGGGTTAGTGATCACAGGATTCCGCTGTCCATAGTTAGCAATAGAGATACCCGGTTCACTAGTCAGAACTGATATGAACTGATGAAAGTTTATGGGTCAAAGTTGCTGATGTCATCTGGCCGTCATCCAGAGACTAACGGTCAGACTGAACAGATGAACAAGATCCTGCAACAAGTTCTGTGCATGTACATTAGACCCGATCAAGTCAATTGGGATGAGATGTTGCCCAAGGTAGCCAGTGCGTACAATAACAGTGTGCACTTGTCCACCCGTCGCACTCCCAACAAGTTGCACAAGTCCTTTAAACCACGCAGACCGTTTGAGGGACTTAACAGGGACCAGATTCACAGGCTACCGCCCGGGACCAGGGAGTTTGCGATACAACACGAGAAAGAGCTAGCTACAATGGTCGAGAACTTCAGGAAGGCCCAGCGTAGAATGATAGAGCAAGCCAACAAGCACCGTCGCCCATCGCAGTTCCAAGTAGGCGACTTAATCTGGGTCAAGTCCAAAGAGTTTGCTTCTAAGGAGAACATCTTGCAGAAGTTACTGCCAGCCTACAGGGGACCATGGCCAGTTCTAGAAGTCAAGGGCGGAGAGGATGGGCCATCCTACACCGTAGAGATCCCAGCACACCTCCACACCTACCCCGTATTTCATGCGTCAAAACTGTCGCCGTGTGTCACAAGCCAACAGTTTCCTCAAGAAGATCCATGATCCCTCTGGATATGGATGGGAGATATGACATTGAGGGCATTGTAGGTGAGGATGTATTCAGAACAGGAGGTAGAGGTCGTCTACAAGGTCCGATTCGCATATCAGGAACCGGAAGACAACCGCTGGTTTACAAGAACTGGACTTCTAGAAACAGCTCCCGACGTAGTTAGGGCCTATGAGAGAGATAAGAGAGGCAAAGGTCCTGCCTTGAACTGAGATATTCTCGGAGGACCTCGAATTTAGGCCGGCGAGAGTGAAACGGATTCCACCTTCGCAGTAGCCGATGCAGATCCCAGGGCTCGATCCCTAGTCCTTACCCTACCTGTGTACAGTATCCGTGTCGACCCCAGGAGTTGAACCCACGACCTGTGTCTTTCCCCACAGTTGGTAGGTTGTCGTAGGTCTGTAGGTTATAGGGGTTCCATCTGTAGACCTATCGGATAGGAGTCTTAGTGAGTTCTAGAAGTCGTAGCTGTAGCTCCTCCGAAGGGTCAAGGTCGTAGCTGCTACAGTCCTGAAGGGTCAAGGTCGTAGCTGCTACAGTACCGAAAGGCCAAGTCCACGGTCTTCCGGAAGGTCCGGAAGTGGCCTTTCGGGTACTGCCCACAGTAGACCGAGGCAAGTGGGCAAGTGGCGAAGTCCACCGGTGCTGAGTCAGCGGTATCCAGTCCCAGTCAGTCACAGTCCAGTCAAGCAAGTACCGTGTGGGACTGTGTGCACCAGGGGCATGGGAAAGGGGCAGACCGACGAGCTACAGAAGTATAAATCAAGAGGCAGCGCCCAGCCATTCATTCATTCCTGCGTAAGCCATGCGGAAGCGCTGCCACAGCGAGTTGTGCGAGGTGGTCTGCAGTATGCCCGAAGACGAAGTGGGCGAGAAGGAGAGCTTAGCCATAGCGATAGGGGTAGTAGCAGCCATAGCCGCCATAGCTGATAGAAGAGTGTAGCGTGTGTGTGTGCGTGTGTGTACAGTGTGTCGCATGTGCGTGTGCGTGTGTGTACAGTGTGTCGCGTGTGGGATATCCAGGGTGATCCTAAGTTGAGTGTGTGTGAACAGCAGGGTGGACTGCAGTGACGAACAGGGAGTTGTACAGGCGCTGATGCGCCATAGCCATCTGAAGCGAGCTTGTATCTGAACTGTGTTCTTGGTTACCATATCTCTGAGTTTTGAGTGGGCGCTTGTCGCCAGTCTGTTGCGCTACCTGTTTGCATGCATGTGAAGTGTGAAAAGAAGCGAGTCTGATTGCATATGTTTTGGCGGGTCAAAAAAGAAAAAAAGAAAAAGGAAAAAAAAAGGTTGACAAAACACCGGGAGTAATGGGGGTTCTGAGGACAGCTACTGTGGTACAATCATACCCTTGGCAAGAGCATGTTATTTGACACGTCTGATTGTGTAATGTTTGTGTATGAAATTGAGTACCTGTTTTGGCCAGGAGCATGGAGTGGAAAACCTGTACCATCTATCAGACAATCCGGTCACAGCAGATTGTGAAAACATTCTTTACTTAGTGAGACCTCGTATTCGCTCTATGAGGATGGTAGCTGCTCAAGTTCGGCACGACTCAAAGGAGAAAATTAGGCGACAGTACTCTGTCTTCTTCATGCCCCGAAGAACTATTGTCTGTGATAAGGCAAGTTCTCTTCATCCCCTTTCTTCAATCATTATTTCAATCTTTCCACGCGAGAACCCGTTTCTTCAGGTCTGCTGTTACACGTTTTGATAAATGCTAGCAGCAGTGTTGCATACCCTGACGGTTGGCGCTCTTGACTGGTCGGCTCCTACTGCTCGGAAGTCGTCAGCACACTGCAAAAAAAATAAATTATTATTATTATTAAAAAAATATATTATTATTATTATTATTTTATTTTATTTTTTGGGTCCAGAAACCCCAATAACCGCACCAACACCCCCATACCCGACCCCATACAAGCCCCCAACACCCTCATACCCCCTTAACCACCCCTATAACCCCCTATAAACCCCTATATCTGCTGTTACACGTTTTGATAAATGCTAGCAGCAGTGTTGCATACCCTGACGGCGGGCGCTCTGGACTGGTCGGCTCCTACTGCTCGGAAGTCGTCGGCACACTGCAAAAAAAAAAAAAATATTATTATTATTAAAAATTTCTGAGTGGGGATCCGGGCCGCCCGGTGACAGGCAGGGGCCCGGGGGAGGTCCCGGGCGGCCTGGCCGGGCAGGGCACCCGGTTGGGGGTCGGGCCCTCCCAGCGCACTCACCTGCCGGGGGATTTCAGACCCCCTTTCGGACCCCCTTTGTGTGTGTGTGTGTGTGTGTGTGTGAGAGAGAGAGAGAGAGATGTGTTCGAATCATACTTGCAGCTCATGCACGGGGTGCTGAGCGCACATGCACGCACACACAAGTGATGCGGCGCATTAAAAAAATAAAAAAACAAAAATGTCCTCGTTGTGTTCAGCCTCTTTTCGAAAGGATCCCTAGAGCATAGTAGCTGGGACCCGACGTCATGCAGAGATACACTTCAACCTTGTACTACCTGAGGGTGGCCAGAGAATATATAGTCTGGATTCGAATTCAGGTCTGTTCATGTCGGTTATGGGTCACCATTTCTCTGTTTTTGCGCTTTTCTTTTCTTTTCTCGTTTTTCTTTTCTTAGGAATACGTGCAGTGGCCCTGAGGGCCTTTACTCACGGAATGCACAAAAGACAAAACATATGGTGGCGTATTATTCCACGTTCTGCAGAAGATTCATTCTAATTTTGCACTTTTTTTTTTTTTTTTTTTTTTTTGGGAATTTTGCACATTTCGTGAGTAGTGCAGTCAAGCCCTAAGAGTCACGTGCAGAGACCAACAGGCCCTAGCTACGTGAGCAACCCATAACTGCTGAAACACAGACCTGAATTCGAAACTTGACTGCATATTCGGCCAGCTCGTGCTCTATTTCATATTCACTACCTACCTCGATTTTGGGGGGGGGGGTCCGCGCTACATGTCTGCGAGGACCCTTCGGATTGCCTGCATGGGCCGTCTGAGCCGTGTTAAGGGGAGCCGTTATGTCTCTCTCTCTCTCTCTCTCTCTCTCTCTCTCTCTCTCTCTCTCTCTCTCTCTCCCCCTTGTTTACACACACACCCCTTACAAACAAAAAAAAGAAGAAAAAAATGCATCTGCGCCCCATCACAGACACCCCCC